ACATTGCCTCAGTTTTTGCTGAAGGACTTGCCACTCTTTCTAGCAATGGCCATTTTTCAACTGCAGATGAACTGGTTGACATTTACATTTACATTTAGTCATTTAGCAGACGCTTTTATCCAAAGCGACTTACAAATGAGGACAATAAAAGCAGTCAAAACTAACAAAAGAGCAACAATATATAAGTGCAAATGACAAGTCTCGGTTAGCCTAACGCAGTACAACGTAGCAAGGTTACACACAAACACACACACACACAAAGAAAAACAAGTAGATAGAATAGAAAAAATAGAAAGCTAGTGTTTGTTTGTTTTTTAAAATAAAAAAAGATAATAAATATAGATAAAGTAGAATTAAATTAGAATATAAAGTGTTAGAGTGTCAAATAAAGGTGGAACAGATGTGTTTTTAGTCATTTCTTGAAGATGGCTAAGGACTCAGCTGCTCGGACTGAGTTGGGCAGGTCATTCCACCAGGAGGGAACAGTTAATGAAAAAGTCAGTGAAAGTGATTCTGTGCCTCTTTGAGATGGCACAATAAAGCGACGTTCACTTGCAGAACGCAAGCTTCTAGAGGGCACATAACTCTGAAGTAATGAATTTAGGTAAATGGGTGCAGAGCCAGTAGTGGTTTTGTAGGCAAACATTAATGCCTTGAATTTAATGCGAGCAGCTACTGGTAGCCAGTGCAAACTGATGAACAGAGGTGTGACATGCGTTCTTTTCGGCTCATTAAAGATTAATCTTGCAGCAGCATTTTGGATTAATTGTAGAGGTTTGATAGAAGTAGCTGGAAGACCTGCCAAGAGAGCATTGCAATAGTCCAGCCTGGATAGAACAAGAGCTTGAACAAGGAGTTGTGTTGCATGTTCTGTGACAGAGCGATATGGATCATTACATGGGTGGTTTCAACAGATTATATTATGTACAGTTTTCAAATCCGTTCTTACTGGATTTATTAACATTTTAATTACAATGCTTAGACCATATTGATGTTCCTCAAAAAATTATTGAGAAAATGAAAATTTAGTCATTTACGCACCCTCATGCCTGTCACGGTCAAGGTGTGTGGAGGCAGGCAGGATGACGAGGACGACAAGGATGTTTAATGTAGAGACAACAAGGCAGATACGGGTAGATGAGACACACACTCAGGGTAACATTCACAATAACCGACAAACTAGACTACAGGAGGCAGGAACTAATATAGGGTGGATAACGAGGGGCAGACAGGTGAGCACAATCAATGTAATTAACTAATAATGAGGACAGGAACAACCAAATAAGGACACTGGGGCGTTACATTACTCCCCCCTCCCGGAAGGTGCGTCCTTTTTTTTGAGGAGCGGGCACTGGAGAGAACTCTTGGGCTGGAGCCCTTCCTGGGCGGAACTGGGGATCAGAAGCCCTTCCTGGGCTAAACTGGGGATCAGGAGCCCTTCCTGGGCTAAACGAAACATCAGGAGCCCTTCCTGGGCT